GGAGAATGAACGGATAAGAATAGCAGAAGCCTGGGATACTTTTATATTTACGCAAGCAATAAGAGGTTTTATGTTAATAACCCAATTAACTCTTAGAAAATATATTGTATTGCCTTCATTGATAATAGCTAAAAATCTCTGCCGTATGTTATTATTTCAATTCCCCGAGTGGAACGAGGATTTGAAGGAATTGAATAGAGAAATGCATATTAAATGCACCTATAATGGTATTCAATTATCAGAAAAAGAATTTCCAAAAAACTGGTTAACAGACGGTATTCAGATAAAGATCCTATTTCCTTTCCGCCTGAAACCTTGGCATAGATCTAAACTACGATCCCATCATAAAAATACAATAACAATAAAAAATAAAGGAAAAAAAGAAAATTTTTGTTTTTTAACAGTTTTTGGAATGGAAGCGGAACTCCCTTTTGGTTCTCCCCGCAAACAACCGTCTTTTTTTGAACCCATTTGGAAAGAACTCGACAAAAAAATTCGAAACGTGAAAAAGAAAAGTTTTTTAGTTCTAAGATTTTTAAAAGAAAGAAAAAAAAGGTTTCTAAAGGTCTCAAAAGAACAAAAAGAATGGATTATAAAAAAAGTTCTATTTATAAAAATAATAATGAAAGAATTTACAAAAGTAACTATAATTCCATTATTTGGATTTTTTAAAGTATATGAATTAAATGAAAAAAAAAATGGAAAAAATTCTATAACTACAATCAGGAATAATCTGATTCCTGACTTATCCATTCAAATTAAGTCCACGGGTTGGACAAATTATTCACTGACAGAAAAAAAAACGAAGGATCTGGCTGATAGGACAAGTACAATCATAAATCAAATAGAAAGAATCACAAAAGAAAAAAAAAATACATTTCTAGCCCCAGAGAAAAATATTAATGCTAAGGAAACTAGTTGTGATAATAAAAGATCAGAATCACAAAAAAATATTTGGCAGATATTCAAAAGAAGAAGTGCCCGATTAATACGTAAATGGCACTTTTTTATAAAATTTTTTATTGAAAGGCTATACATAGATACCCTTTTATGTATTATTAATATTCCCAGAGTCAATGCACAACTTTTCCTTGAATCAACAAAAAAAATTATTGATAAATACATTTACAATGATGAAACAAATCAAGAAGGAATTGATGAAACAAATGAAAATGAAAATACAATTCATTTTATTTCGACTATAAAAAAGCCGCCTTTTCATATTAGTAATAGTAATAAGAATTCACAGATTTCTTGTGACCTATCCTCCTTATCACAAGCATATGTATTTTACAAATTATCACAAAACCAAGTTATTAATAAATATCACTTGAGATCTGTACTTCAATATAACGGAACATCTCTTTTTATTAAGGATAGACTAAAGGATTTTTTTCGAACACAAGGAATATTTCATTCCGAATCAAAGCATAAAAAACTTCGGAATTCGGGAATGAATGAATATGAATGGAAAAATTGGTTAAAGGGTCATTATCAATACGATTTATCTCAGACTAGATGGTTTAGATTAGTACCGCAAAAATGGCGAAATAGAGTCAATCAACGTCGTACGATTCAAAATAAAGACTCACAAAAATTGGGTTCATACGAAAAAGACCAATTCCTTTTTTACGAAAAACAAAATGATTATACACTAAATTCATTACCGAATCAAAAAGACAAATTTAAAAAACACTACAGATATGATCTTCTATCACATAAATATATTAATTATGAAGATAAGAAGGACTCATATATTTATGAATCGCCGTTACAAGTAAATGAGGGCCCAGGGCTTCCCTATAATTACAATACACATAAACCCGAACCATTTGATGTGCTGAGGGATCTACCTATTAGTGATTATCTAGGAGAAGATTATATTATTGATACGAAAAAAAATCTGGATAGAAAATATTTTGATTGGAGAATTCTCCATTTTTGTCTTAAAAATAGAAAAAAAATAGATATTGAGGTCTGGGCCAATATGGATACCGGCGCCAACATTAATAAAAAAACTAAGACTGGAACTAATGATTATCAAAAAATTGATAAATTTTATAAAAAAGACCTTTTTTATCTCACGATTCATCAAGAAATCAACCCATCCAATAAAAAGAAAAACCTTTTTGATTGGATGGGAATGAATGAAGAAATACTAAATCGTTCCATATCAAATCTGGAACTTTGGTTCTTTTCGGAATTACTACTACTTTATGATACATATAAGATTAAACCATGGGGCATACCAATCAAATTACTTCTTTTAAATTGGAATAGAAACGAAAACGTTAGTGAAAATAAAAACATCAACGAAAAACAAAAAAAGGATTTTCGTATATCACGTATATCATCTAATGAAAAAAAAATTCTTGAATTAGAAAATCGAAATCAAGAAGAAAAAGGACCGCCAGGCCAAGGGGATCTTGGACCAGATGCGCAAAACCAAGAGAATCTTGGATCAATTCTATCAAACCAACAAAACGATCTTAAAGAATATTATGCGGAATCAGACATTAAAAACCATAGAAAGAAAAAGCAATTCAAGAACAACATAGAAGTGGAACTCGATTTCTTCCTGAAAAAACATTTGCTTTTTCAATTGAGACCGGATTATCCTTTGAATAAAAAAATGATCAAGAATATCAAAGTATATTGTTTCCTGCTTAGACTGAAAAATCCAAAGGAAATTGCTATATCTTCTATTCAAAGAAGAGAAATGAGTCTGGATGTAATGGTGATTCAGAAAGATATAACTCTTACAGAATTGATAAAAAAGGGGATATTTATTATCGACCCTATTCGTCTGTCTATAAAATGGGATGGGCAATTTATTATGTATCAAACCATAGGTATTTCTTTGGTCCATAAGAATAAGCACCAAACTAATCAAAGATACCGAGAAAAAAGGTATGTTGATAAGAATGATTTTGATGAATCCATTTCAAAACATGAACAGATGGTTGGGAATGGAAGAAAAAATCAGTATGATTTGCTTGCTCCTGAAAATATTTTATCGCCTAGACGTCGTAGAAAATTGAGAATTCGAATTTGTTTCAATTTGGAGAATGGGAATGTTGTAGATAAAAATCCAGTATTTTATAATGGAAACAACGTAAGGAACTGTGGTCAATTTTTGACTGAGGACAAACATCTTGATACAGATACAAATAATTTCATTAATATTAACTTAAAGTTCTTTCTTTGGCCCAATTATCGATTAGAAGATTTAGCTTGTATGAATCGTTATTGGTTTGATACCAATAATGGCAGTCGTTTTAATATGTTAAGGATACATATGTATCCCCGATTGAAAAGAAATTGATGGTACATTTCATTTCGTATATATCCCTGCCATAGATCATATATGAAGGTAAACAAATGTATACACGCGTTGCGTTGTATTACATTCTGATACAGGATACTGATTCAATGACATATCCATTAGATCTAGGAATGAATCGGCGGAATCTTCTTTAAGTCCAAATTTTTCTCTTTTGTGAGTGCAGAAATGTACTATCCTTTTGTATCCGTATCCAAATCCAATTGAAAAATTAGGTTGATTATTGATTAATTTGATAGAAAAAGTTATACATGAATAAATTCAAATTATTGTGTATACCAGATTAAAATAAAATAACTGGCAGTATTATTATTACTGATCGGTAAAATTCAAATCTATAGAAAAGAAAGGGGGCGAAAAATTATTTTTATGGTAAAAAAAAATTCATTCATCTCAGTTATTTCGCAAAAAGAAAAAGAAGAAAACGAAAACAGGGGATCTGTTGAATTTCAAGTATTAAGTTTCACCAATAAAATACGGAGACTTACTTCACATTTGGAATTGCACAGAAAAGACTATTTATCTCAAAGAGGTTTACGGAAAATTTTGGGAAAACGTCAACGGCTGCTAGTTTATTTGTCAAAGAAAAATAGAGTACGTTATAAAGAATTAATCAGTCAATTGGATATTCGGGAGCCAAAAACTCGTTAATTTGAAAATTCGTTTTGAATTATTTGATTTATTAGATCTTGAATTTTGATGAACTTCGTTTTCAGGAATTCATGGAATAATGAATCGGGGAAAAAATATATGACTGTACCAGCTACAAGAAAAGACCTCATGATAGTCAATATGGGCCCTCACCACCCATCAATGCATGGTGTTCTTCGACTCATCGTTACTCTAGATGGTGAAGATGTTATTGACTGTGAACCCATATTGGGTTATTTACACAGAGGGATGGAAAAAATTGCGGAAAACCGAACAATTATACAATATCTGCCTTATGTAACTCGTTGGGATTATTTAGCTACTATGTTCACAGAGGCAATAACTGTAAATGCACCAGAACAGTTGGGAAATATTCAAGTACCTAAAAGAGCCAGCTATATCAGAGTTATTATGTTGGAGCTGAGTCGTATAGCTTCCCATTTGTTATGGCTTGGCCCTTTTATGGCGGATATCGGTGCACAGACTCCTTTCTTCTATATTTTCAGAGAGAGAGAATTAATATATGATCTATTCGAAGCTGCCACAGGTATGCGAATGATGCATAATTATTTCCGTATCGGAGGAGTAGCTGCTGATCTACCTTATGGCTGGATAGATAAATGTTTGGATTTCTGCGATTATTTTTTAACGGGGGTTGCTGAATATCAAAAGCTTATTACGCGGAATCCCATTTTTTTGGAACGAGTTGAAGGAGTGGGCATTATTGGTGGAGAGGAAGCAATAAATTGGGGTTTATCAGGACCAATGCTACGAGCTTCCGGAATCCAATGGGATCTTCGTAAAGTTGATCATTATGAGTGTTACGATGAATTTGATTGGGAAGTCCAATGGCAAAAAGAAGGAGATTCATTAGCTCGTTATTTAGTACGAATCGGTGAAATGACGGAATCCATAAAAATTATTCAACAGGCTCTGGAAGGAATTCCGGGGGGGCCCTATGAGAATTTAGAAGTCCGACGCTTTGCTAGAGCAAAAGATTCCGAATGGAATGATTTTGAATATCGATTCATTAGTAAAAAGCCTTCTCCCACTTTTGAATTGTCGAAACAAGAACTTTATGCGAGAGTGGAAGCCCCAAAGGGGGAATTGGGAATTTATCTGATAGGAGATCAGAGTGTTTTTCCCTGGAGATGGAAAATTCGTCCACCAGGTTTTATCAATTTGCAAATTCTTCCTCAGCTAGTTAAAAGAATGAAATTGGCTGACATTATGACGATACTAGGTAGTATAGATATCATTATGGGAGAAGTTGATCGTTGAAATGATAATTGATACGACAAAAGCACAAGTTATCAATTCTTTTTCCAGATCGGAATCCTTAAAAGAGGTCTATGGGCTCATATGGTTGCTTGTCCCTATTTTGACTCTTATATCGGGAATCACAATAGGGGTACTAGTAATTGTGTGGTTAGAAAGAGAAATATCCGCAGGGATACAACAACGTATCGGACCTGAATACGCCGGCCCTTTGGGAATTCTTCAAGCTCTAGCAGATGGAATCAAACTACTTTTCAAAGAGGATCTTCTCCCATCTAGAGGAGATGCTCGTTTATTCAGTATTGGACCATCTATAGCGGTCATATCAATTCTACTTAGTTATTCAGTAATTCCTTTTGGTTATCGCCTTGTTCTAGCCGATCTTAGTATAGGTGTTTTTTTATGGATTGCCATTTCAAGTATTGCTCCTATTGGACTTCTTATGTCAGGATATGGATCGAATAATAAATATTCCTTTTCAGGTGGTCTACGAGCTGCTGCTCAATCAATTAGTTATGAAATACCATTAACTTCATGTGTGTTATCAATATCTCTACGTGTGATTCGTTGGAACATGAACTCAACTGTATGGAGTTTTTACTTACTATTGCTATTGTGTTGTATGTATTACCATACCGGGGATCGAGCAAAAATGAGTGGGCGGTTAGGAACACCAAGGTACACAAAGGATTAGTAATGAAGATAATGTAAGTTATCCAAAAGATATTTCTGGATAAAAGATAAAAGGAATCCTAATGGGGGCTTTAAGTTGGTAGAAATGATCAAGAAGTACTTCCCCATGATCCCGATCCAGAGTATGCTCCTATCCACTGATTAAAGAAATGACTATCAGGGACGAAGTAATCTTTTATTTTTTTTAGAGTCCCCCCTTTCTGAGAAAGAAGAATAGGAACGAAAGAAATGGAATGCAATTGCAATAGGAAAAAAAATGAAATAAAAAAATTTTTTCTTTCTTTTCTTTATCCATATTCATAGCGATAGAATTATTATCATGATTCATGAACAAATGTAGAATTCTTTTTCGTAATCGAAAGATATGGGTCGAAATATCTATTGATACAACAGGTATTTTATTGAAGGGTTAAGTTATTACTGAACAAAAAAGAAAAAAATGGAAATAATAAAGGATGAGATCAATTCAGAAGCACTTTATTTTGTTATTATAGCAGACAGAATTCCATTGGTCTAATTCGGGACTCTCCGATGTATCTTTACTCTTTCTACTCTCCAAACATATCGAGATAATACCGAAGTGGTCCCTAGATTTATTTGTGGCCCTTGAGGAGCCGTATGAGGCTGAAGTCTCATGTACGGTTCTGTAATAGCGATGGGAACAGTGATGTTATCACCGACTATAATTATCTAACAGTTCAAGTACAGTTGATATAGTTGAGGCGCAGTCAAAATATGGTTTTTGGGGTTGGAATTTGTGGCGGCAGCCTATCGGGTTTGTCGTTTTTCTAATTTCTTCCCTAGCAGAATGTGAGAGATTACCTTTTGATTTACCAGAAGCAGAGGAAGAATTAGTAGCAGGTTATCAAACCGAATATTCAGGTATAAAATTTGGTTTATTTTATGTTGCTTCCTATCTAAATCTACTAGTTTCTTCATTATTTGTAACAGTTCTTTACTTGGGCGGCTGGAATCTCTCTATTCCGTACATATTCATTCCTGAGCTTTTCGGAATAAATAAAGTGGGGGGGGTCTTTGAAACAACAATTGGTATCTTTATTACATTAGCTAAAGCTTATTTGTTCCTGTTCATTCCTATCGCAACAAGATGGACTTTACCTAGAATGCGAATGGACCAACTATTAAATCTTGGGTGGAAATTTCTTTTACCCATTTCTCTAGGTAATCTATTATTGACAACTTCTTCCCAACTCCTTTCACTGTAAAGGAATACTATATTTATATTTATGTTATTTTAGGTTCATAACTTCTCTCAAACAAGAGCAAGAGAAAGAAACATCAAATTCTTTTATTCATAGATATTCACAATATGCTACCTATGGTAACTGGGTTCATGAATTATGGTCAACAAACAATACGAGCTGCAAGGTATATCGGTCAAAGTTTCATGATTACCTTATCCCACGCGAACCGTTTACCTGTAACTATTCAATATCCCTATGAAAAATTGATCACATCAGAGCGTTTCCGCGGTCGAATCCACTTTGAATTTGATAAATGCATTGCTTGTGAAGTATGTGTTCGTGTATGTCCTATAGATCTACCCGTTGTTGATTGGAGATTGGAAACTGATATTCGAAAGAAACGATTGCTTAATTACAGTATTGATTTTGGAATCTGTATATTTTGTGGTAACTGTGTCGAGTATTGTCCAACAAATTGTTTATCAATGACTGAAGAATATGAACTTTCTACTTATGATCGTCACGAATTGAATTATAATCAAATTGCTTTGGGTCGGTTACCAATATCAGTAATTGGAGATTCTACAATTCGAACAATTATGAATTCAACTCAACTAAAAATAGCCACGGGAAAATCCCTTGATTCAAAAACAATTACCAATTACTAAGATTCCGTTTTGATCTAAAGGAAGCGAAACTTCTTTCATTTTACTTGGTCAATAACTAAAAATCCTAACTATTAATTGATGAGAATCACGGCTTAATTTTGATTGAAAATCTATTCATATATCCGTTTTCGAAATATAGAAAAAATATAATTATATAATTATATATATAATTATAATTATATATAATATATTATATATATATAATTTCGAACTACTCTTTCGGATACTACTCTTTCGGATATAGAATGGGATTGATCCAATAACTGTATCTACATCAATCCACACCCATTCGAATTTCATTTAATTCAATTTTATTCAATTAGGAACGTATCATAAAAAAAAATAGGGTAACTTCTTTTTTCCCGGTCCGGTCAATAAGGTCATGAAAAATTTCGACTTATTTATCTCTTATTTTACATATAATGGATTTACCTGGGCCAATACATGATTTTCTTTTAGTATTTCTGGGATCAGGTCTTATATTAGGGGGCCTAGGAGTAGTATTACTTACCAATCCAATTTATTCTGCCTTTTCATTAGGATTGGTTCTTGTTTGTATATCCTTATTCTATATACCATCGAACTCTCATTTTGTAGCTGCTGCCCAGCTTCTTATTTACGTGGGAGCCATAAATGTCTTAATCATATTTGCTGTGATGTTCATGAATGGTTCAGAATATTACAATGATTTCCATCTTTGGACCATTGGAGATGGAGTCACTTCATTGGTTTGTACAAGTATTTTTTTTTCACTAATTACTACTATCCTAGATACGTCATGGTATGGGATTATTTGGACTACAAGATCAAACCAGATTATAGAACAGGATTTGATAAGTAATGGTCAACAAATTGGAATTCATTTATCAACAGATTTTTTTCTTCCATTTGAACTCATTTCTATAATTCTTTTAGTTGCCTTGATAGGTGCAATTGCTATGGCTCGTCAGTAATAAATACTTAGAAATAAAAATAAATAAGGACTTCTTTTTTTCTGTATTATCACATCCATTTTACTTCTTACTTCCATTTTTTCTTTTCTATTTTCAGATTGTTCATGTTTAAAAAAAAATGGAAATGCTTTTTGTTCGATCTATTACCAATATCTTCCTTTGTTCCGTTCTTGTTATATTCTAGTCAATCGAATCGGTTGAATTGTTGTTCATATTGAAATGAATCGAGATTGATGAGGAGTTAGTCAATGATGCTCGAACATGTACTTGTTTTGAGTGCCTATTTATTTTCTATCGGTATTTATGGATTGATTACGAGCCGAAATATGGTTAGAGCACTTATGTGTCTTGAGCTTATACTGAATGCGGTTAATCTAAATTTCGTAACATTTTCTGATTTTTTTGATAGTCGCCAATTAAAAGGAGACATTTTCTCGATTTTTGTTATAGCTATTGCAGCCGCTGAAGCAGCTATTGGGCCAGCAATTGTTTCGTCAATTTTTCGTAACAGAAAATCAACTCGTATCAATCAATCGAATTTGTTGAATAAATAGTAGTAATAAAATAAATTAAATATAATATTAAAATTAAATAAATATTATAAATAGAAATAGTAGTAATCATATCATATAAATAAAGAATAGAATATTCACCAATTCGAATTAGCATATATGACACGTATGACCATTTTTGCTAAAACATAAGAAATCAAAGTATCTTGGCCCTCTCTCATAAACAGATCCAGAAGTAGATTAATTAAAAAATTTCTGATAAATCATTGATTCGTCTGGTATCTACAATATATGATATGATTCATTTATTATATTACTTTACTAGATCGAAATTTTATGACGTTCACAAAAATTTAAAGATCCAATGTCACATTCAGTAAAGATTTATGATACATGTATAGGATGTACTCAATGTGTACGAGCCTGCCCCACAGATGTATTAGAAATGATACCTTGGGACGGATGTAAAGCTAAGCAAATTGCTTCTGCTCCAAGAACAGAGGACTGTGTAGGTTGTAAGCGATGTGAATCTGCTTGTCCAACAGATTTCTTGAGTGTCCGGGTTTATTTATGGCATGAAACAACTCGCAGCATGGGGCTAGCCTATTGATACGTTCCAGAAAACTCCACTTGAATCCATTTGATTTCTCTTTACCGACAAAAACCCGTACTCGATAAAAAATATCTATAGATATTTTTTTATCTCGAGCACGGGTTTTTCTGGTCAAAGTGTATCTTGTCTTTACCATGAATTTTTTTCCTTGGTTAACAATAATTGTAGTTTTGCCGATATCCGCGGGTTCTTTAATTTTCTTTCTCCCTCATAAAGGAAATAAGGTGATTCGCTGGTATACTATCAGTATATGCTTAATAGAACTCCTTCTAATGACCTATGCATTCTGTTATCATTTCAAATTGGACGATCCATTAATCCAACTGGAAGAGGATTATAAATGGATAAATATTTTTGATTTTCACTGGAGATTAGGAATCGATGGACTTTCCATAGGACCCATTTTACTGACGGGGTTCATTACTACTTTAGCTACTTTAGCGGCTTGGCCAGTTACTCGAGATTCCCGATTGTTCCATTTCCTGATGTTAGCAATGTATAGTGGTCAAATAGGATCATTTTCTTCTCGAGACCTTTTACTTTTTTTCATCATGTGGGAGTTAGAATTAATTCCTGTTTACCTACTTCTATCCATGTGGGGAGGAAAGAAACGTCTGTACTCCGCTACAAAGTTTATTTTGTACACAGCAGGGGGTTCTATTTTTCTTTTACTAGGAGTTCTGGGTATGGGTTTATATGGTTCCAATGAACCAACATTAAATTTTGAAACATCAGCTAATCAATCATATCCTGTGGCATTAGAAATAATATTCTATTTTGGATTTCTTATTGCTTATGCTGTTAAATCACCGATTATACCCCTACATACATGGTTACCAGATACCCACGGAGAAGCACATTACAGTACATGTATGCTTCTAGCCGGAATCTTATTAAAAATGGGAGCGTATGGATTGGTTCGGATCAATATGGAATTTTTACCCCATGCTCATTCTATATTTTCTCCCTGGTTGATGATAGTAGGCACAATTCAAATAATCTATGCAGCTTTAACATCTCCCGGTCAACGCAATTTAAAAAAGAGAATAGCTTATTCCTCGGTATCTCATATGGGTTTCACAATTATAGGAATTGCTTCCATAACCGATACGGGACTTAATGGAGCCATTTTACAAATAATCTCTCATGGATTTATTGGTGCTGCACTTTTTTTCTTGGCAGGAACGAGTTACGATAGAATACGTCTTGTTTATCTCGATGAAATGGGAGGAATTGCTATCCCAATGCCAAAAATATTTACGATGTTCAGTAGCTTCTCGATGGCTTCTCTTGCATTGCCGGGAATGAGTGGTTTTGTTGCAGAATTGATAGTATTTTTTGGAATAATTACCAGTCCAAAATATCTTTTAATGCCAAAAATACTAATTACTTTTGTAATGGCAATTGGAATGATATTAACTCCTATTTATTCATTATCTATGTTACGCCAGATGTTCTATGGATACAAGCTATTCAATGCCTCAAACTCTTATTTTTTTGATTCTGGACCACGAGAACTATTTGTTTCGATCTCTATTTTTCTACCTGTAATAGGTATTGGTATTTATCCGGATTTCGTTCTCTCACTATCAGTTGACAAGGTCGAAGCTATTCTATCCAATTACTTTTCTAGATAGTTTTCATGAAAAAGACATAAAAAATCCTGTGATTTTTAAAATCGTTCGTTGTACAATGAAAAAAAAGAAGTCTTATTCCTTTTCTTAAGTAAAAAAAAATGAAGTGAATTGGAATTTTAATCGGATATGTTTGGTGTTTTTGAGAACCATTTGAATCACGTAGTGATTCAAACGGTTCTCAAAAACTTACACAACATTTCGTTATATACACCGTTCTTATGTATTGTATTTTGTATTTGTCAGGTCGTTTCTTCAATTACATCAAAATGTGAATGACCCATAACTATGTAGCCCTATTCCTAATAGATTGACCCCAAAATAGCATATCCAAATTATAAGAAATCCCATAGAAGCCACAATTGCGGAATTTGCGCCTTGCCATTTTGTATTTGTTCGAGTATGTAAATAAATCGCGAATATGGTCCAAGTAATAAATGCCCAAGTTTCCTTCGGGTCCCAATTCCAATACGACCCCCATGCCTCATTAGCCCATACTGCTCCCGAAAGAATACCTATGGTTAAAAAGATAAACCCTAGACTAATGACACGATAACTCCAATGATCCAATTGCTGAATCAATTGATGCCTGTGATAGTTTCTAAAAGTAAAAGAAGTGTTTCGTAAAACATTGCTTTTTTTATTCACGTATTGGATCTCACAAAAGTAAAATGACCCAATTAATAAATGATTGCTTTTACTAAAATTTTCTATGTTTTTTCGAAATGTAATGACTAGAAGAGCTATTGATAATAATGATCCACATAAAAGAGCTGCATAACTCAATACCATCATACTTACGTGCATCATTAACCACTGGGATTGAAGAGCAGGCACTAATATTGCGGATTGATGCATGTCAGTTAAAAGACCCGAAGTGGCAAAGCCTTGGGTAAAAATAGCACTTGGTGTGGTTATTTCGCTTAAATGATTTTTATGGTTCCCTATTTTAGGAACCATATGAATAATGGAGAAACTCCATGAAAGGAACATTAATGATTCATATAAATCACTTAACGGGAAATGCCCTGAATGAATCCAACGAGTAACTAAGAATCCTGTTATACAGAAAAAAGTCGCTATCATGCCTTTTTCTGACGAATCATATAGTCCTACGGTTTCATCGATTAATAAGGTCATCAAATGAATCGTAATTACAATTGAAACGATCGAAAAGGAAATGTGAGTTAATATATGTTCTAAAGTCAAAAATATCATAAAAAAATCCTAAAAAAAGGTCCCTTAAGTGCGGAATGGAAATCGGGAATTGAATTCATTATAGGATTTATTGTACATCTTTTAGAAGATGCCGCCACTCGGACTCGAACCGAGATGCTCTAGCACTGCTTCCTAAGAGCAGCGTGTCTACCAATTTCACCATGGCGGCTTGCTAGAAATCATAATAGCCCATTCATATTCAATCGTCGAGATTGAAGGAGTCAATTCAATGCAATATTTTTTACAAAACATTAGAATCGATGAATAAAGACCCGTTCCGATTCCTATTTGAACGTTCAATAATCTTTATCTTTAGTATTAGTATCGTAGGATGGTGTCAATTTTAACAATAGGCTTTCACGTAGTTTAAGCTCTCTCGGAATAGAACAGTTGGAACTATCTAGTTCTGTCCTCAATCCGGGCATATAACTAGAAATTGTCCGTTTTTCTATTTTCTTTTCATTTTTTGATGATTCATTTCTCATTTATCTGATTTCATAGTCATGGATTTGAAATGGAAAAGAAAAATTCATTTTATCAATGAACAAAAAATTTGTACGGATCATACAAAATTGACTCACTTCTCGTACATAAAGATTGATCTAAGTGGAATTCAAGGGGTTTTTTTACTGCTTGGGTCGTAAAGTAGGGGTCTATAATGATTCAGAAAATTACAAAACAAGTCTTAAAATTAAAATAAATATAGATAGAGATCTAGTTTCAACGATCTATTAATTTTGACTAAAGATCTTATATTATATCTGTTTTGCTATAGAAAAAAGGGGGTTTCCACGTAGTTTATACTTATAGTATATCCTCTATAAAATCTTAACTTAAATAATGCGTTTTAATGATGTATAACTATTGGGGCAAGAAACTCCTTTTCTATAAGAAAAAGAAACTCCTTTTCTATAAGAAAAAGAAGACTTTTGTTGTTGTGAAAAGTAAATCGATGGGGAAAATAAAATAACAATCCCCATCTTGTTTGTAAATTTGAAAAACCTACTAAAAAGAAAGAAGAAAGGTGAAACCCTGTATTTTGGGCTTACCTACTTTTTTTGTCAAACAAAACAAAAAAATACCTTTTTCGAATCCATTAGACGGAAAAATATATTCTGTATACCACAATAGTCAGTTCCATTTTATATTGATCAGTTTAAAATTAAAACATTAGTTAATGTAAATTATTCATCTTATAAATGTAAATGAAATTATACTATCGAGTCATATCGATTCAGATTATTCCAATGTTTGATTATTTATTTGTCGCACAAAAAAACTTTTAGAATTCCCGGTAGAAAGAGATTTTGCTAACGAAAAAGCTTTTACCGCTGCCCAATACCCCTTTCTTTTCCAAATATTTTTACGAATACGCTTTTTTGATATAGAAGTACGTTTCTTTGGAACCGCCATTCAAAAATAAAGAGGTTGCTCATTGCTATAGTTGGATGTGAAAGACATGTATTGTTCAAAATGATCGTTTCTTCTATTCATTCTCTCTATATTTTTTCCATAGAGGTCCTTTATAACATGCAAAAAAAATATAGAGATACGTGTGCATCGCATAGAGTATCACTACACTAGGGACAAAAAAGAAAAATGAAATGATGTGATACTTTGTTTTTTGTTTTTCTAAAAGAATTTTTTTCTATTACATACAATATCTGAGAAAAATTCGTATTGATTGGTACTTTTATATCCTCATTTGAATCTATATCTATAGCACTCACTGTCTGTCATAGAAATCGAATTACTTGTCGTTGATAAGAAAAGAAATTTTAATTCATATCTTCGTCTCTTTTCGCCGTACTACATTTTAGAAAAAAAAAATAAAAAAGTTTAAGAACCCCTTACCTAATATAAATAGAATAAATAATAAAATAAAAAAAAACACACACACAAAGAATATTCTAACGTTTTTCTATTAATTGATCAAATTCGAGACGAGAGTACACCTAATTTAATTTTTTAAAATCGAACAAGACTAGTAATTAATCTATTAAATGATACAGAAATAAAATTTAAGAAAAGCCTTTCTTTTTAGTAATTAATTCTTTCAACTCTATGTAAAGTAAAAAAAATGGTGGGTATCTTAATTTTATGGGTTCCCATAAATAGAAGTTTGCTTTATTGGGTCAAGTTATTGGAGGATCTATGATCTATATCATACTCTTTTTGGTATAATTTTGTATCCTTGCTCTATGGATATAAATTATTGTAATAATAGAATGATTGAAATTTTCCTATTCTGTATTTCTATAAATATCTTTGTTAATAACTAAGTAGTAACTTTTCACTATTGACTTGGTTATATCATTTGACCAATTGTAACTTATTGATTTGAATATTTGAAATGTTGGGAAAGAATTAAAAAAATTAGAATTTTGAATTCTATTTGAATATTTGAGTTCTTTCCTATCTTGATTTTTTTTTATTGATTCCTTCTGAAAAAGATAAGAGCAGGTGAATTGGAAATAGAAATAATTAATTAAGAATAAAAAAGTTGGATTTTCTTATGGAACATACATATCAATATGCATGGATGATACCTTTCGTTCCACTTCCAGTTCCTATGTTAATAGGAGTGGGACTTCTCTTTGTTCCGATGGCAACAAAAAAGCTTCGTCGTATGTGGGCTTTTCCCAGTGTTTTCTTGTTAAGTATAGTTATGCTTTTTTCGGCCAATCTGGCTATTCAGCAAATAAATGGCAGTTCTATCTATCAATATGTATGGTCGTGGACCATCAATAATGATTTTTCCTTAGAGTTCGGCTACTTGATTGATCCACTTACTTCTATTATGTTAATATTAATCACTACTGTTGGAGTCATGGTTCTTGTTTATAGTGACAATTATATGTCTCATGATCAAGGATATTTAAGATTTTTTGCTTATATGAGTTTTTCCAATACTTCTATGTTGGGATTAGTTACTAGTTCGAATTTGATACAAATTTATATTTTTTGGGAATTGGTTGGAATGTGTTCGTATTTATTAATAGGGTTTTGGTTCACACGACCAATTGCGGCAAATGCTTGCCAAAAAGCGTTTGTAACTAATCGTGTAGGGGACTTTGGTTTATTATTAGGAATCTTAGGTCTTTATTGGATAACGGGTAGTTTCGAATTTAAGGATTTGTTTGAAATAGTCAATAACTTGATTTCCACTAATGGAGTCAATTCTTTATTCGTTACTTTGTGTGCCTCCCTATTATTCGTCGGTGCAGTTGCTAAATCTGCACAATTCCCCCTTCATGTATGGTTACCCGATGCCATGGAAGGACCTACTCCTATTTCGGCTCTTATACACGCTGCTACTATGGTAGCGGCGGGAATTTTTCTTGTAGCCCGGCTTCTTCCTCTTTTCACAGTCATACCTTACATAATGAATCTTATTTCTTTGATAGGTATAATAACAGTACTATTAGGAGCTACTTTGGCTCTTGCTCAAAAAGACATTAAGAGAAGTTTAGCCTATTCTACAATGTCTCAATTGGGTTATATGATGTTAGCTCTAGGTATGGGGTCTTATCGAGCTGCTTTATTTCATTTGATCACTCATGCCTATTCAAAAGCCTTATTGTTTTTAGGATCCGGATCAATTATCCATTCAATGGAAACCATTGTTGGATATTCTCCAGATAAAAGTCAGAACATGGTTCTTATGGGCGGTTTAACAAAATATATGCCAATTACAAAAACTGCTTTTTTATTAGGTACACTTTCTCTTTGTGGTATTCCACCTCTTGCTTGTTTTTGGTCAAAAGATGAAATTCTTAATGATAGTTGGTTGTATTCACCGATTTTCGCGATAATAGCTTGTTCCACAGCGGGATTAACTGCATTTTATATGTTTCGGATATATTTACTTACCTTTGAAGGGCCTTTAAATGTTCATTTTCAAAATTACAGTGGCAAAAAAAATAGCTCGTTCTATTTAATATCTATTTGGGGTAAAGAAGGACCGAAAACGATTAACAAAAATTTTCGTTTATCAACAATGAATAATAGTGAAAGGGCTTCCTTTTTTTCGAAAAAGACATATTCAGATGGGAATGTAAGAAACATGATGCGATCTTTTATTACCCATTTTGGCAATAAAGAAATTTTCCCATATCCCCATGAATCGGACAATACTATGCTAGTGCCTCTGCTTGTATTGGTTTTTTTTACTTTGTTCGTTGGATTCATAGGAATTCCTTTCGATCAAGGAGGAATGGATTTTGATATATTATCGAAATGGTTAACTCCGTCGATAAACCTTTTACATCCAAATTTGAACAATTCCGTGGATTGGTATGCATTTGTGACAAATGCGATTTTTTCAGTCAGTATAGCCTATTTCGGAATATTTATAGCATCCCTTTTATATGGGCCTGTTTATTCTTCTTTCCAGAATTTGGAATTAATTAATTTCTTTGTTAAAATGGGTCCTAAAAGAATTCTATGGGACAAAATAATAAATGTCATATACAATTGGTCATATAATCGTGGTTACATAGATAGTTTTTATGCAAGAGCTTTTACTAGGGGTATAAGAGGATTAGCTGAACTAACTCATTTTTTTGATAGACGAGTAATTGATGGAATTACGAATGGGGTTGGTGTTACAAGTTTCTTTGTAGGAGAAGGGATCAAATATGTTGGGGGCGGGCGAATCTCTTCTTACCTCTTCTTGTATTTATTTTATGTATCAATTTTTTTATTAATTTACTACTTTTTGAATCTATAA